GCCTTCAAGCAGCGCTACTGCCTCTATTTTAGAGGAGAAGGGAGCCGTCAAACTGAGCTAATGCCTCTATTTTAGAAGAGAACAGAGGCTCTTTGTCGTTGCGCCTCTATTTTAGAGGAGAAGGGAGCCTTGACACGGAGCTCCTCCCTCTATTTTAGAGGAGAAGGGAGGAGCTCTACTGCCTCTATTTTAAAGCAGAACGGAATCTCTGGCCTAGTTTAGAGGAGAACGAAGCCTTCAAGCAGCGCTACTGCCTCTATTTTAGAGGAGAAGGGAGCCGTCAAACTGAGCTACTGCCTCTATTTTAGAGCAGAACGGAGTCTCTGTCGCGGAGGACGGAATGCCTCTATTTTAGACGAGAACAGAGGCTCTTTGTCGTTGCGCCTCTATTTTAGAGGAGAAGGGAGCCTTGACACGGAGCTACTCCCTCTATTTTAGAGGAGAAGGGAGGAGCTACTGCCTCTATTTTAAAACAGAACGGAATCTCTGGACTAGTTTAGAGGAGAACGAAGCCTCCAAACAGCGCGACGGCCTCTATTTTAGAGGAGACGGGAGCCCTCAAACTGCGCTACTGCTTCTATTTTAGAGGAGAAGGGAGCCGTCAAACTGAGCTAATGCCTCTATTTTAGAGGAGAACAGAGGCTCTTTGTCGTTGCACCTCTATTTTAGAGGAGAAGGGAGCCTTGACACGGAGCTCCTCCCTCTATTTTAGAGGAGAAGGGAGGAGCTCTACTGCCTCTATTTTAAAGCAGAACGGAATCTCTGGACTAGTTTAGAGGAGACAAGCCTTCAAGCAGCGCTACTGCCTCTATTTTAGAGAGAAGGGAGCCGTCAAACTGGGAGCTACTGCCTCTATTTTAGAGGAGAACAGAGGCTCTTTGTCGTTGCGCCTCTATTTTAGAGGAGAAGGGAGGAGCTACTACTCTGCCTCTATTTTAAAACAGAACGGAATCTCTGGACTAGTTTAGAGGAGAACGAAGCCTCCAAACAGCGCGACGGCCTCTATTTTAGAGGAGAAGGGAGCCCTCAAACTGTGCTACTGCCTCTATTTTAGAAGAGAAGGGAGCCGTCAAACTGAGCTAATGCCTCTATTTTAGAGGAGAACAGAGGCTCTTTGTCGTTGCGCCTCTATTTTAGAGGAGAAGGGAGCCTTGACACGGAGCTCCTCCCTCTATTTTAGAGGAGAAGGGAGGAGCTCTACTGCCTCTATTTTAGAGCAGAACGGAATCTCTGGACTAGTTTAGAGGAGAACGAAGCCTTCAAGCAGCGCTACTGCCTCTATTTTAGAGGAGAAGGGAGCCGTCAAACTGAGCTACTGCCTCTATTTTAGAGCAGAACGGAGTCTCTGTCGCGGAGGACGGAATGCCTCTATTTTAGAGGAGAACAGAGGCTCTTTGTCGTTGCGCCTCTATTTTAGAGGAGAAGGGAGCCTTGACACGGAGCTACTCCCTCTATTTTAGAGGAGAAGGGAGCCTTACATCTGCAAGGTCCCAGACCAGCAACAGCGTGCGCAGGCGAGCCGCACAGCGTGCGCAGGCGAGCCGCAGCCGAGACGTCATTTTCGTTGACCTGCGCGAGAAAAAATAGGCGTGCAATTAGTGCGCGTGCGCGTGCGAGACCAGCATGCGCGTGCGCACGCGAGACCGACACGCGCGTGCGCACGCGAGGCCGTGACCTTTAGAGGTATCTTGGTATACCCTGCGGGTTTGCAGTGTTGACAACTGTTGGTTCTTCAGGAAACACAAGTTTGCTTGGAATAGTGCTCGATATATTACAATGTATTCAAGAGGACCGAAGTTTCACTAGCACACGCGGCACTTTCAAGTTGAAAGGTGTTGCCATTCAACATGCATTCGACATTGGGACATGGTGCTGCCATTGCTTGAAGCCTAGACTGAAAAGCTGGTGGCCATCTCCGGGACATGGGGGTCAAACGAGCAGGTTTGCTGGAGTGAGGTTTAAAGAATATTGAACAAGCCACAATTTGTAACAATGCCACGTGAGGGAGAAAGTGGCTAGCTTGTATGGTGCAGCCATGCGGCCAAACCGATAATCAAGCGATGCTACCAGGCTTCCCAGCCAAGCTTCCCAGCCAGGCTTCCCAGCCAGACCTCCCAGCCAGGCTTCCCAGCCATTGAACTTTGCGCCGCCTGTGGTTTTTCCCCGCCGCACTGCTCACAGTGTGCTTGTCAGCGAATGCCAGCAGAGCTGACTTCTGTACATTGCAGAGCCCCGACGCATTTCTGCAAACAAAGAAACTTTTCTTCTGCAACTTCAAGTAAATTTGGCATGGTGAACCGCGATTCATCTGTGAGCCCAAGGGATTCATCAGGGGCGACCCACAGCTCTTCAAGTGTCAACGAAATATTTTTCAGGAGCACCCGTACCCGGCGGGCAAGGCATGAGTGCTGAGTGGCATGCGAGAAAGCAATGCGGATGGCACAACTCTTTCAAAATTGGCTGAGCTACTTGGCCATCAGGACAGTCAAGCGGTGGGCCACGAGGACCAAAGTTGCCACGGTTGAGTACGAGCACATTGTCAACCATGAGCCTGATTGGTTGCCGGCAGCCGTCCCTTTGAACATAAAAAATACTTATTGAGGAAGGTCACCCTGCTGGCTACTAAATTCAAGCTAGACACCCTTGGACCACCTGGTGCCCACTGCAGAGTCGAATGAGGTTCTGCGAGGTAAGCTTGTCTTCGCCCCAGCGCAACATCAAAGTATCACTCCGGCGCGTGGCTAAGCACTTGTCCAGGTCATTGGCCATCACCCACCGGCTCATACATCTTCCCAGGCACCTCGTGGTGGAAGATTTGCATGACTCAAAAGTGAAAAGTAGTGAGGCGCAGGTACTTATCTTCAAAAATTTAGCCAAATGTTTGGCTGAACGACGGGACGTTGAGTTTGTTGCGCAAGAAAACGAGGGGGGCTTTAAATGCTGACATTCATGGCCAACTTTCAGCTGCAACATCGAATTGCGGGAGCCGTTTCCATGGAGATTCGCGACCTATCTAAGATTGGTTAGATTATATAGAAACTCTGTTGTCCATAAAATTACAAGGGGAGCTCCCAGCTCATGCTATTTAGATCTGACAGACTCTCTGGCCACTTTTCTCCAAAAGAACGCGGCAACAAAGCATCCGTCTGCCCTACACCGTCATCTTGTGAAACCCAGTGAGGAAACACAGGCAATCTTCGAACACCTCTGCAGCTTGCTGAACTAGCGCTGAAATTTCAGCATTGCCAGGTGCTGTGAAAACTGGGTCCTCCAATTCTTGGAGAACCGCTTTTACATATATATATATAGTTCCACAAATCTGCTGCTGTGGCCAGCAAACTGTTCAAGGCAACGAGCAATTTTTTTCGAATACTTGTAGGTTCGAAACACTCAATAGTAATTTTTCCGGCTTCAGGTCCCCACAAATAAGACACTGGCGGGTTTACACATCATTAGCTAAAAACCAAATACATGCTCAAAGGATCTCAAAGGAAGTTTAGTTCACACACTTCCGAGTTGCAGACAAATGTCCAGGGGCAGTCTTGTCATCATCATCCTCATCATCACCACCACCATCATCATCATCAAGTAATGCTTTCCTGCGCGCAGCCGTGCCACTGCGTTTTGCGCCAGCCGGTTGCAAACCTGCAAAGCAGGAGCGCTGCGACGCATTTACCAACATTCACGCACCGTCAACGGTGCGGAAGCGACCGCGCAAATCCGGCGCTACTCCGAACATGGCGTTTTTGTTGCGATTTTTTTCGTGAAATCGAGCTCTCATGTGCTCTCGCTACAGTCTCGTTCACATTTTGCCGACATCATCTCTCAAAAGTGTGCCGAACATGCAGCGAGAAGCAATTTTTTGGCCAAAATCGAGCCCTGGCCAAAGTCTTGTGCACTATTGGTCCACAACTTTCCGAGATCGAGGCGTGCACCCGCAGAAACAGAGACCCTACTTCGGCGATCCCAGAAGCCACAGAACCCGAAAAAAAAACACAGCTGCGCGAAGAGAAGAATTGGGTTGCAGAAGCTACAGCTAGTTTATGGTGGACAGCCCCCCAAAAATGAATGATTTGGTGGCTACACCCATTCTAGGAAACCTCCGTATGTATATGTTGGTACGTAATTTTATGACAATAACATTTTCTGAAAATAGAAAGGTTGCACATGGATATACAACCTCTATAACAGCCAATTTGCTAGCAAACATTGGTGTTTACAACCGACTGCACTGGGGCTATTTCATGGGATATACAACAGGAGTGATCACTGAATAACGCAGTTTATGGGTGTTTGCCTGCAACATGCAAAAAACAACAACTTGAAATCAACAATACGATATTTGGTGAGTCTGGAAGTAGGGGATGTAGCCCAACGACACTTTTAGTATTGATAACGATGAGAAAGCAGTGAAATTGGGGGCACCCTATTTTCAGAGAAACCCACCTCTTGCTTTTCTACCCCTATTTTGGTTGCCTGTGTCAGACTGCATGTCTTGTTGGTCAAATCCTGTGTTGTGCATTGTAGAATGTTGTCAAATCATGATACCTCTTGGGGTTCAATCATAACAAAACCGTGGATGATTGGGCTTTAAGTGCAGTAAATGGCGGCAACTGCTAAATCTGTTATGGATTTGTCCACCGACTTTTGGATACCAAAGCAAAGTGTTAAATAACACCGCAGATAGCAGATCAAAAGTGTTGACTTTTAGCAATGCAAGATAAATGCATACAATAAATATGAATAAATAATCTGGAACGGGGCTGCATCAGCCAATCGAGTTTGAACTAGTGCAAGATGACAATTTCATCCACCAAACATGCTCCAAAACCAAAAGATCATGCAGCTTCAACCCGTACCCCTAGTCAGTGAGCCCCCTATGTACCCCGAAGACAAACCAGCATGGGCAACGCCATATCCGCCAATAAACATCCAAGCACATCTACAAACACAAGATACTCCACTTGTTCCTTGTTATTTTGTTCGACACGTGTTTTTTTTCACTGCCCATGTCTGATCCCTTGCCATCGTGGATCATACTCTGCCAAGTGCGGGGACTTCTTGTTTTCTTCTACGTAGGCCTGGGCTCGAGCCACGCGCTATTCATCAAGTTTGAGCACAACCACACATAATATCGTCATACATTTAACACTCACCATTCATGACATTCACCAAGTTTCCTACCCTCAAAATGAGCAACCTTGAGAGAAAGTCCAGTATCCAACCTCTTGGCAGGGACCCAAATTGAGGAGCAGAACAGGCTGTATATGGAACCAGTTTCGACGCACGATCAAGGGATGTAGAAGGAATGCCCGTTCTGATTCCTGTTCTGCGCATCATATTTTCTTTATAAAGGTCAGAAGTGGGTTTGTCTTATCCAAAAATCCATTGGTCTATCATCATTTTCCTACTAATTTAAATGGCCATTCGGGGGTAATTATCCTCCATTTTCAGACACACCCAAGTCAGTTCATTCCGCTATACGAAGATGGGATCCTCGGCTCGAAACTTGTTGGGTCTTTGGAACACTCTTGAGCTCCAAAACATCACAATGGTATGGGTTTTGACACAACAAAAAAACACCAAGGGACAATGAACTGTTCCGCATTGCGATCCACCAGGTCTCCCTCCGGCGAAATCCAGTAGAGATGCCCCTCGGGATGCCAAACCTCCTTAAAACGATCCACGTCGCCGTTGTGAAGGCCATCAAAGTAGGCTTCTAACGCTACGGCCACCTGCCGTTAAAAATGGCTGTGGAAAGATGAGAGACTATACTTCAAATTATATCGGAAATTCGAACAGAAGCCTAAACTGAATGGGGACATTTCCGGACTTGGGAACAAACATATATCTTTTGGGTATGTGTTGTCCTATGTGAGTTTCACCGTAGTTTCACGGAAACGAGACATTGGTAGAAATAAGTGGAATCATCTGCCAGAAAACATGGTCCTTCCGCCTCTGTAAAGCGCGCCGATGCCAACCTCTGGCGCTTGGATGGCTCCGCCATTAGCGCGGGTTGCTGTGATGTGGTGAATCACTGGAGCCACAGAAATATATTTCAGATCACTCAGTTTTCATCATCCCCAACATGGTTTGACAATCAGAAACATCCGGGTTTTCGGTTTTTGGATAATGGTTGATCACATGAATCTTCCGGTTTGCGTCAGGTGTGGGTCCTGCTATCAGCTCAGAGAATCCAGGGTCTGTGAGGTCTGCCCTGGTACAAGAAACACGAGGAGACGTGCCTGGATTCAACTGCCGCCTGGGAGAAATGGGAGATACTGATAGATATTGATAGGTATTGAGCCTTCGGCGTAGGCTTTCTTCCCCCCCGAGACTTGAAAATTTGCACTGGTGGATGCAGTGGACGCTACAGGTTTTTGATGGTTTTTGGTTCTCACTGATGGCTTCTGAGCCTTGCAGTTGGCGGCCGGGCTGAGCAAGTTCTCGGCAAAGAAGTGTACGCCGTTCATTGAGTCACAAACCATCTTCAACCAGAGTTCCCTGTTATTGTTCAATCTCTACATATATATATAAACCATGTGGTGAATCATCAGCTCCCACCGTTTAGATCTCCAAAATCATTAGCGAATTCAAGTGAGCAAAGCCCGTTGCGGACGAGTGCTTGGGTAGGGATTTCATTGGGATTTCCATCATCATTTCCAAAGGGTTGATCGGGATTTCCCCTTTTTGGCCGTGGAAGTTCCCATTTCAACTTGCTGAATGCGATGTTCTCGGACATTCCTTCTCTCTGAGGTAAAAACATAGGTTCTGACTTGACTCACCCCCAAAACATTTCATATATAATTTCTGTGGGTTAAGTCCCTATGTCAAAATAGTTAAAGTCTTATTTGGGAAGGATATGAAAGGATAAATCAAACTAATTCAGCAGTACGACGACGTGAAAGTCAGTTTCACTCAGTTCCACTCAGTTCGACCAATTCCAGCACACTAACATAGATAGGGAAATTTTTACCAATTGTTGACCATTTCCTTGCAAAACCCATTATATAATCTCGATTGTTATTAAAGATTACCGAAGGGTACACCAGGCATGACACCCTGGGCCGTGGCCCAAAGGCTCCTTTCGGGACCCTTGACCCTCGGCTGCGCGGAGGTGTCTTCACACCGTCTGAAGCGCTCGTGCTGACAGCCTAGGCCAGGCTGATGGTTTCTTCGACCTGCTTAAGAATCCAATTTCATCAATATTCCTGGTATTCTGGAGATGTTCAGCTTTCATCTTCCTGAACTTAAACTTTTTACTGGTGATATCTGGTACTGGTACATGGTGATATATACCCATGACATCGCATTTTTGTTGCTGCGAACTCTCACATGTCGCCTCGATGTCCAGCGCTTCAGGCACCTCCGGCAACACTTCTGCCTGGCGAAATGGCGGGGTCCCTTTTGGATGTGGGGGCAAACATGGTTTACCGGGAAAACATGAAACAAACACTGGATTTTAAGAATCAGAAGCGGGAAAGACAACACATAAACCATGGATTTGATTATATATTGGGATTTTAAATGATTTAAGCATCAAAAACTGCGAAAAATTAGGACTGAACAATGGGGATTTAACAAAATTAAACAATGAATAATGGATTTGGCAACGATTTGACATGATTTGACCATATCCTCCAACAATTGAACCTGGCAATATCATTCTCGGTGAAATCCCCATTGTTGATGGATGTAAGCAACCATAAAATGTCCATATTTCATGTTTACACCGTATAGTGATTTAAGCTGGCTAGCTAGAAAATTACTCATCTACAGTCTACAGATGCTTATCCGCTACGATCCCATTCGAAAAAGCAAACGGTATCACTAGTTGCGTATATAGGAAAAAGCTTCTAGAAACTTGGTTGTGGATAGGAATTCCTGCCATGGATCTCAGCTATCAATATTTTGCCACCACGAAAAATACTCAACTCGTCCCAATCAAGACCCCCAACATGGGTTTGCCGAGAAAAACTCTGGGTATACCATGGTATACTCCAAAATTACCAATTTGATGGGTAAGACTATCATCCATTGGGTTTTAAGGTATACATATATACTACGTTTAAACCAACCCCAACTGGATGGTCAAATCCGCCAGATACGTCCAGCCTCTGTCTCTGCTTCTACCTGGTTCGGTTCCTTCGCTTCTTCCGGAGGCTCGGGGGTTTTCACCTTCAGCACCCAAGAGCTAACCAGTGCCACTGGTTGATTGAAAGCGGGTGAACAAAAAAACTTAAATTCAGGGTGGCCAACGCTGCCAAAACAAATAGTTCGGAGGATTCTTGTGTATTATAATAGGCGGCATAATTAGCCATGATTCGTCTTCTGTGAGACAAATAATTTCAAAATTAATGTTTCCCATGCATTTTGGATCCACTGCCCCACTGCCACCCATTTTTTGGAGTTCAACGTTTTGCTCCATTTCTTCATTGGACGAATAGCATGTGGTTTGTATGAAACTAGAAAGCAAATTCGGTGGTTGATCATTACCCATGGCCATTCACGTGGCGATTTTTGCGGCCCATGCCCCATGCCAGGTAAGCCATGATAAGCCCAAATGTCGGATGAATCATAACATCCCAAATCATATATATATATACGTTCCGACAAAAATCCACAACATATATCCCCATCTCAGACTGTTTTGACCCAACCCCAGCTACCCTGTCGTTGAACCGGAAGCCCACCTGTCGCTGCTTCTCCCGATGCTCGGCAAAGAGTTTCAAGAGTTCTTCATCTGGGAGAGTTTCGAAACAGATTTCATGGGCCCTAAATTGGGCATGTGACATGGGGACCCAACGATGAAAAGAACAGGGCTGTAGCTATATAATGAAACATGGTTTAAGAGACTGTCCAAAAAACGGGAGCTACATCAAAATGGCAATTTCAATTTCAATGGGAAAAGAATAATAATCATAAGCTTGACAAACACTGTTTTTTTTGGTACTTTATTTGGGGTGGAACTTGGTAGAACCGCTTCTTTAAGGGCTAATTCTTGGGTTTACCACATTGTGGATCAGCCCACTTTGTGACAAGGCACCACTGCGAAACTGACCCATACATGGAATTTCAATGAATTTCACATCATCAAAAATGGCAATATACTTAGATAATCTTAAATATAACTAAGCTACCCTATAAATGAGGACAAACGTGTAGTTGTCGTTTAGCAGTTTGGCACATACCTTACTTCAGCTTCTATGTCTCATCCGAAAGTGATCATTGGCTATCACGGGCCTCTGCAGTTAGTTATGACTTGATTATTAATGATGCTGATATAAAACTCACACAACTCTAGAATATATCCTCTAAAAATCCAGATCAATCCATTTTATTGGAGCTAAAAAAGAAAACGAAACCAACTCAACTATCTTGAGGTACCTGCATTGTAAGCATCTGTTTACAAAACCCTTTGGTGGAATGATGGTTGCAGTGGAGACCCTTGACACCTTGACACTGGACCTTGGGCCTCCTGCTGGTTTCTTGGGTCTGTACAAATCTATGTAAAAATGGAGGATCTCAGTGGGGAGAATGATGATAAACCACTTGATTTTGTGGTTCTGGATTTCCAGACAACCTTGTCGTCCCTTCTGTGGACAACTTTTCTGTGACCTGAAATATATAATTACAGTAACTCCGTTTTTGCCAGGATGGCAGGACGCTTTCGGTCAAGGAGGGGCGCTGGGATTATTTTCTTCGCTGTTCGGTCAGGAAGTCTCCTAAAGACAAAACAATCGAGTGAAAACCAACCATCTGACAGAAGCATCTGCATTGGAACATGCCAGTAATGTCCAGTAATTCGATTGACTTTGGAACCTCCTTGGATTTGGAAAATGATTTCCTTGCTGGATGCAGTTACCTGTCATCATCTACTCATGACTGACTATCGAAATCTTTCGAGCAAAGTCATTCCTCAAACATGGCTGAAAATGAACCCGCTCACCAACCATTCTGCCCAGATTGACCCATCATTTGTCAACTGTGGCTACCCATTTCCTCTCCATGGTGGCGAAATCCGAAGATAAATTCCCGCAGTTTCAAATTGCTTAAACTATCATGCGGGAAACTCTTAGTCTATTAGCCCCTGTCTCCCCATGTTTTGGGGGAAAATGAACAAAACTGATACAACTATAGCTCTGTTCGGTGCCCGCCGCTAGGGCCTGAAACATCTCCTGCCCGTTGGAAGATGAGGTTTTCCCATGGCCTTGGAGGTGCTATACTGGGATCATTGGGCATGGGGAAGCTCCAGCACCATTGGCTACTTGCTGGCTCATCCCACTTATATACTAAGTAGGTCATAAACCATAAGTGGGATAAGTAAGGTTAACAACTAGTGTTATACCACGTCATAACATGTGATAACATGTTATATAATTTATATATATATATATAACCTATTTACTAAGTGGGATGGGCCACCAAATAGCAAAGTCTGTGTTATTTGGGTATGTTTGGGAGTCGTCCATTTTAGGACACCCTTAGGTGAAATGATGTGATTGGTGTGACCAATGCCAGACAACACACATTCGACGAGGCTGTCAACAAGCTTGTCCAAAACGGTGTTCAAGGGTTCCAATACATACATCTGCCACACAAAGGTCTGTTCGCGTCATAAACAGGCAGCGGTATCTTATGAAGTTGCAGAGGTTGCTGTTGCGGTAAAGAACGGTCTCAACATCAAGAGGGACATTTATGTGAATCACAATGCGAGTGAAAAACTACATGATGGGCCAACGTTGTCAAGTGATGTGACTACTTTGACAGGATCATGGGCGCGGGATCACACATATTGCACCAGTCACTAGTGGAATGGCTCAATCCCCGTCTAACTTGGATTCCTGGCTCCACACCAGGACCCAAATGGCTCCCACACCAGGACCCATACGTTGAAGGTTGAAGTCCTCCCTTTTATTGTTACTTTGCTCATCACATCATCAAATCCAACTTTTTGCATGTTCAATCTCGAATTTCGCTGCTAAAGTTAAATCCATTTTTCGCGATTGCTTCTTACGCTTTTGCTAATGAAATCGCAGGTGTTTTGCTGGTGACACGTGTTTTTTCAAGCTGAATCAAACTATAAATTCCACTTCCAGATTTTCCATGTTTGTCGAATTTTTCCCCCTGGTAAATCCCCATATATATTTCCACCCATCAGATCTGTTGTCGTTTTCTCCGGGGCTCCAAGGTGACGGAATCTCATTGCTCTCTCCAGCCGCAAAGACGCCGAGCCTCAGTGGTGTTTTGGACCTTTTCCCTCAACATCATTGCTCGAACTATAGTTCTACGGTTCTACGAGGTACCAAAAACCATGCAAATAGAAATAGCACCATTTTGATCCAAAACTATCCCCTGCACAAGCTGTTCCTTCAATATTTTCACATGATGCACACATCATGATTAGAAATGAAACCACTGACCGTCAGACTCGGAGAGATTTTCGAACTTCCACCATGTTCCACCTACCAACTTCAACTAAAATATGAATCAGACCAGATGTTTTTTTTTCCCTCTGGGTATGTCCAAAAATCGAATGACGTATCCCCAAAAAATGCCTTTGACTTGGGAAAATCCATGGTCCACTTGCGGCCAAGAGACGTTTTGTTGGCGAAAGCGAAGATGTCGCGTAGAAAAAGCATGAAATCCTGTGAGGTCTTGGTGATGTTTCTGGTACTACCTTCACTTTCAAGACAATGGATGGAAACCCATCCCAAAAAAACGTATATGTACATGTTACATGCTATATTATTTAAAATGGAATCTTATGGACTCATGTTCTTTTTATAGTAGTGAAGTAATGAGTGACATGTTTATTGGTGCGCTTCATGCAAATGCAACGGGTTGGCTATCCACAGCGCCATGTAACCATCAACCAACAGAGGCCTCGGGCATTGCTCCTGCTTTCCCCCAAAACCTGTGGTGTAGTAGGGCATTCATACATATTTGGGACCATCCAAGGGGTGTTTAATATATAGGGGTATCGGTATGGGATTATATATTTTCTGTTTATACCGTCCTGAAATGCCAACCGGTGAAACTCTCACCCGGCAACTCCTTTCCGTGATTCATGTGCTTCAAGTGGCAGAGCTCGTGCAACAAAACCTAACCGTGGCAGCCCAGGACGCAGGAGAGATTTCATTCTTGGGTGGCTAAAACCATTGGGGGATGGTTTACAAATAGGTTTACCTGTTTATCGCATGATGCTGATTGATCTGATGACCACGACCATGATTTCATCACGGTTCGATCAATTTCCTACGAAAAAAACTGGACAGTGCGGGGCCCATGTCGTAGTCGCAATGCGCCTGAGACGATGCCGGAACCTGTGCAACAACAGCTCATCTTTTTGTGTAAGTTTTATCTTGTCAGCTAGATTAACTAGATCTATAATTGGAACACATGGTTTGTCAGGAGAGTGAAACCAGACCACAACAACCCACCACTACCACAATAACATTTTCAGATATTCTCAGTATACATTGTATACATGTCCGTTCAAATTCAACTTACAGTTGTTTAATCACCTGTTATTGAAATATTGATACATGTTGATACATATAGATTGATACGTACAGTATTGGCCATTTCCGACCTGCTGTCAAGGAACCGCTATTTGAGTTCCATGGGAAACGAAATCCGTTTGCGGATCCTTGGCAACCATCACGGCGGCCAAGCGTGTGGAAATTTGCCAATGGGAATTTTTGAAAATTTACCATTTCACAATTCTTCATTCAACGTATATACAGCAGTTGTAGCGAAACACACAACATGACATGGTTGTCATTGTCAACCAAAAACATGTGAGAAAATCAGCAAATACAGGTTACATCAACACATCAAGATAATTTTGACATACCAGTGGGTTTGGATCTCTTCTCGCATAAACGCAAACCAAGTGTGGCAATTTATGTGAACATGTGTCAAATCCAAACATTCAGTTGCTGGAAAGTCAGGGCGGTGGAACCCAGTAATAACAAGAGCGAGGATTGAAACACAAAGCAAGTTAAAACATGTTAAAACAGGTCCCGTTGGCAATCCAGCTGTGAGGTCATGCCCGTTTAAACACAGCTGACTGTTCAAACAAGGGTTCTTGTTTTACATAATGTCATGCCGCACAATTTTGTTTATCGACGTGCCCGCATTCTGGCCAGAAACACTCCATGTCACATCACCAAACGTTGGACTGACATTTCTAGGTAAATATAAACAAACAAAATCACCTCTTGCCAAACCTCAATTGTATTCCCTTTGTGTCTAACGGGCCGCGGGTAACGGGGCAACGTTCCATGTTGAAGCTGCAGCATGGACCCAGCTGAGGCCAAAGACCCCTTTGGTAGGGTGCAATCGGAGGCGCAGCCTGATCGTCACCAAGTAGCGAGTCTCCTGGAAGGCGAGCTGTCATGAGAAAGGCCTTAATTGATCATGCCGGCCGTTGGGAATGCCTGTCTAAACAAGGCGAGTGAAGGTGGGCCAGAACAATGCAAGTGCCGTTACATCGATTTTGTTTGTTTTCGTGGCTTATGTTTCGCTTCAACGCATCCTAGGGAAACTGGTTTGAAACCACCAGGCAGCTTTCTATCCCAAGCGATGGTGACAACCCGCTCGCGCCCTTCACGACGTTGCTGCAACAGAGTTTTGAAAACAGCGCGGGAATTTCCAAAAACTGTGGCAAGACTCGCAGTAGCATGTCTAGTAATAACAAAATTCATTTACTTACACAGATCTTTGGGATTCTTTGGTTGTTTCAATCTCGCTGTGCGTCAAATTCTTGTGATGATCGTGCGTTTCTGGGCGGCAAGCCAAGTTTTGCGCAGTATTATTTCCAACCGAACGAAGCCAAGCGCAATCACTGTTGGAGCGGAATGAAGTGTTTTGAACACTGCCTGGAGCTATCATTACAACACAGCGCCAGACGTAAGCATATGGCACATATACCCTGGAACAGGGACTACATCATGACATCGCGACCAACGAAGCCTTTCATTGTTAATGGGCCTGCGCCCCCAACATGGCAAACGCACCCAAAATTGCAGTTCCTAATGAGGGGCGTGGCTGATTAACCAAACGATTCGGGCCATACCCTTATTTTCAATCAACCACATGCGAAAACAAGTCAGTTGAGGGTGGTTGATTCATGGTGGTTCCGCCCATGTCTTCTGCAACCTGGAACGGCTCATTGCTGGCTGCAACACAGTGCTGCCAATACCTTGACTTTTGCTTCCTTTGTTGTTGTTATAGAGGGACTAGTAGGAGTAGGAGTAGGAATAGGAGCAGGAGTAGGAGCAGGAGTAAGAGTAGGAGGAGGAGTAGTAGTAGTAATAGTAGTAATAGTAGGGGTAGGAGTAGGTGTAGGAGGAGTAGTAGGAATAGAAACAGGAGCAATAGCAGGAATAAAGGCAAGGAGTAAAACCAGGAGTAATAGCAGGACTAAAAGCAGGAGTAGTCGCAGGAGCAATGGCAGGAATAAACGCAGAGGTAATAGCAAGGTAAAAGCAGGAGTAATAGCAGGAGTGATAGCAGGACTAAGAGCGGGAGTAAAAGCAGGAGTGCCAGTAGCAGCAGTAGCAGTAGCAGTAGCAGTAGCAGTAGGAGTAGTAGTAGTAGTAGTAGTTAGTAGTAGTAGTAGTAGTAGGAGTCGTAGGAGAAATAGGGAATAGTAGGACGAGTAGTAGCAGTAGGAGGAGTAGGAGGAGTAGGGGTATGGAATAGGAGGAGGAGGAGTATGATTAAAAGTCGGAGTCGGAGAAGGAGGTCCGAGTCGGAGTATTACTAGTACTACTACTACTAGTAGTAGTAGTAGTAGTAGTAGCAGTAGCAGTAGCAGTAGCAGTAGCAGTAGCAGTAGCAGTAGCAGTAGCAGTAGCAGTAGTAGTAGTAGTAGTAGTAGCAGTAGCAGTAGCAGTAGCAGTAGCAGTAGCAGTAGTAGTAGTAGTAGTACTAGTAGTAGTAGTAGTAGTAGTAGTAGTAGTAGTAGTTGTTGTTGTTGTTGTAGCTGTGGTGGTAGTAGTTGTAGCTGTGGTGGTAGTAGTTGTAGCTGTGGTGGTACTACTACTACTACTGCTGCTACTACTACTACTGCTACTACTGCCACTACTGCCACTACTGCCACTACTGCTACTACTACTACTACTACTACCACTACCACTACCACTACCACTACCACTACCACTACCACTACCACTACCACTACCACTACTACTACTACTACCACTACCACTACCACTACCACTACCACTACCACTACCACTACCACTACCACTACTACTACTGCTGCTACTACTACTACTACTTCTACTACGACGACTACTAGTAGTAGTAGTAGTAGTAGGAGGAGCAGGAGGAGGAGTAGTAGTAGTAGCAGTAGCAGTAGCAGTAAGTAGTAAGTAGTAAGTAGTAAGTAGTAAGTAGTAAGTAGTAGGTAGTAGGTAGTAGGTAGTAGGTAGTAGGTAGTAGGTAGTAGGTAGTAGGTAGTAGGTAGGAGGTAGGAGGTAGCAGGTAGCAGGTAGCAGGTAGCATGTAGCATGTAGCAGGTAGCAGGTAGAAGGTAGCAGGGAGCAGGGAGCAGGGAGCAGGGAGCAGGCAACAGGGAGCAGGGAGCAGGCAGCAGGTAGCAGGTAGCAGCTATCAGGTACTAGGTACTAGGTAGGAGGTACTAGGTAGGAGGTACTAGGTAGTAGGTACTAGGTAGTAGGTAGTAGTCGTAGTAGTCGTAGTAGTCGTAGTAGTCGTAGTAGTTGTAGTAGTCGTAGTAGTCGTAGTAGTCGTAGTAGTCGTAGTAGTCGTAGCTGTGTGATTGTGTGATTGTGAATGTGGTTGTGGTTGTGAATGTAGTTGTGGTTGTGGTTGTGGTTGTGAATGTAGTTGTGGTTGTGGTTGTGGTTGTGAATGTGGTTGTGGCTGTTGCTTCTGCTCTTGTTCTTGTTCTTGTCCTTGTCCCTGTGTTTGTTCTTGTTGTTGATCCTGTTCTTGTTATTGTTATTGTTGTTGTTGCTGGTTGTTGCTGTTTGTTGCTTCTTGTTTTCATTTCTAGATGTTAATTGTTGTGTCTTGCTGTTTCTTGTTGTTTATTCTTGTTTCTTGTTGTTTATTCTTGTTTCTTGCTGTGTCTTGTTGTTTCATGTTGTTTCTTGATATGTATTGTTGTTTCTTGTTGTCTCTTGTTGTCTCTTGTGGTTTCTTGTTGTTTCATGTCGTTTCATTTTGTTTCAGGTTGTTTCATGTTATTCATGTTGTTGTTTCATGTTGTTTCAGCTTGTGTCAGCTTGTTCCCCGGACATCTCCAGGACTTCAGAGGTTCAAAGGGATACCAACAGCTGTCAGAACCGCAGCACCCCATGTCGCAAATGCATAGTCGCAACATCGTGACAGAGCTTGACAGGGTGTAAGCTGCAAGCTCTGGTGCTTTATTTTGGTAGGGCACTCGGTCCCTTGTAACACCCCTCCCCATCCATCTATAACGGGGATATCTTATTGTGAATAATTATATATATATATATATATACTGATACTTTTCGTTCTGCCGGTGTTCGCAGCGTTTGGTATAGAACCATGGTGCAAAGAGTGTTGTAACTTACGATAATGGTTTGCGCAGGTTTGCAAGGTTGTGAAATCTTCAGCAGTTGTCAACAGCGGAGATAAGAAAAAACTGTTGTTTGGTGTGCTTCGTATGGAAGACACTATAGAAGTGTGGAGTGGTGACCATTAGATGGCATTTCAAGTGCAAGCATCAACATAGCATTCTTGTGCACTGACGTGCGCTGGGAGTGCCGATGCGTGCTTGGAAGACAGGTAGGCACCACTTGTCCACCTTTGGTCATAAATGCCTTTTTTGTAAGAAAAGACCGTTTCGCAAACACTGAAGTGACTTGCTGAAGGAATCCAGAAGGATGGAATTAGGTTTGCAGATGTTGCATGAGATCCGTTCGTCAGACACTCAGAACTTCTTCGAGACTTTGTGTGTCTAACGTAAGGAAGTAGCTTTTCACTGCATTTTAAGGAACTTAGGTGAACACGAGATGTAAGCACTTAGGAGTCCACGTTGGTGTAAGCATTCAACCGCTTGACGTGAGATCAGCTGGTAGGAAGTTTGCATGGACGTAGTCTTCTAGGATCGCATGTGGTAAAGCCTACTAAGACTTAGCATATTCCTAGGATTGTACTTATTGCAGTGGTGTTTTTGGTCCTGGGAACATTTTCGGGACGCTTCAAACGAAGCGCTCTTTCGCACCAAATCCGTTTGGTAAAAGTGAACGCTCGTTTTCAGAGCTTGTGAGGCGTATGGAGCAGGTACGGAATTGTTGGAATGCGCAAACTCGTTGGGAACTCGTTTGAACACCTTTTGGAACACTTGGTTTGGGACGAAATTGTTGTGAGCTGTTTGCCTCATTTTGAGGTGCCAAGAGAATCCACTAAGATTTCTGAAGTTGTGAGAAGCCGTGTGGTGAGCCGAAGAGTGGAAACCGTTTTTGTCTGTGTTTTTTTGTTTGTTGTTGAATGTGTTTGAAGAAAGCGCCTGAATTCACCAAAGAAAAAGGAAACAATCCTGTGTCGCAGAGAAGTCTCACAGAGATTCAAAGACCAAACCTTCTGGTTTGGCTCAAGTAATGAACGGAAAAAGTGACCGAGTTCAATGAGAAATTGAACCGGAGAAATTCTCAAAGAGAATCCGAAGTTTTTCACTGATTGATTCTCCGTTGCATTTTCAACCCACACCATTGAGCAGCGCCGCTGGTTGCTTAAGAGCCGGATGCCGATCCAGTGAATCTTAACAAGCACAAAACCAGGCAGTAAAGCACTAGATCCTCATCTAATCTGTTTTTTTTTTCGAAATTTATCCCCATGTTTAGCCCGTTGAAGCCATCTGATGTCCTCTTCGGGCCGGCTTTGTATACCACGATCATCATCGATCATCTACAGTTTGAGAGTCAGCAGCTCGCCATTGCAATTCACCCAAGAAGTTGGACAAGGACAGCCACTCTTACCCTCAAAAAATCGTTAGTTAAAAAGGGTCAAGTGGTTATTTAAACCACCGGGGTTTGCGCGAGAATGGAATACCCCGAAAATCCGAGTTGTCCAGCTTAAATTCACTATTTGGCGCACATTGACTCGCAATGGACTGATATATAAAGAATGGATATTACTTTCTTCGAGCAATCCCCACCCTGACATGCCATCCTGACATAGTTTCTGACATACCACCTGGAAGTATTTATTGCATATGTATATATATATATATAGAGAGAGAGAGCAAAATTATATATAATATAATATATATATAAATAATAAATGTATATAAATATATATATATATATTCTGATATTCTATCTGACATTCTGTCTGGCATATGCTCTGACATTCTATCTGACATCCTACATGGCATTCTACTTGGCATCTTTTCATTTTCAGGCATTCATTCTGGCATTCTATCTGGCATTAAGTTTGGCATTCTAGCATGAGTTCGGGTCCAGGCGCACTCCACAGCATCCTGGGCTAGCGATTTTGAGTTCGGGTCCAGGCGCAATCCACTGCATCCTCAGCTCGTGATATGGAGTTCCGGTCCCGGCATGGCCCACTGCATCCGGAGCTGGCAGGGGAGATGAAGAGGAAAAGGAGGCGGAGGAGGAGGAGGAGGAGGTGGAGGAAGAGAAGGAGAAGGAGTTGAACCTTTGTCAAAAGTGTTAGAATCTAGAGACCCTCACCTGGCAGGTGGCCCACATGAATTGTGTGATATCTGCATGGTAAATATATGGGACTTCCCAAGAAAGCAGATGCTGTCGCCATCAAATTTTCATTTATTCTCATTTCCCCGTCCTGAACCTCGGTGCCATCTGGTCCCTGCTTCCTGAGGACGGGGATTTGGCGTCCAACCAACTGCTTCAATCTATTTCTGATAGCGATGAATATTTGTTTGTAGTGGATTTTGTCCAAACATGTCAGGAAAAGGCCGAATTCAATGGCATGTTGAGAAAAAACCTGAGTGGCCTGTCATTGTGGAATATACCGATGTTTTTTTTGCATAAGGCCAAACTATTGGTGATTATTGGTGGTGTTTCATATTCTGATCTGCCTCACTTGCCCTCCCACTTTTGTTGGCTGCACATGGAATAGTAAACGATGTCCTTTTGGATAAATTAAATGGCGGCTGGGGTTCATTTCGCATTCGCAAAGCATGAGAGGATACAAACGACGCACCCCTCTTTTTCATCAACTATAGCGATTATGGGACATGTTGACACAAATAGTGCGAACTCCCATAGACCATAGATCCCTAAATTTCGACCATGTTCAGATCGGGTAGTCACATTGGCATGGGCCCAGTCCGTTCAATTTAGCATTAGATTGACGCAATTAAAAGGGGCTCATAGTGATTTTAGAGCAAATTCAACATGTTTGTGAGGCAATTAGCTTTGCTTGTTGCTTCCTGCCTTGCTCGCCTAGCCCTCGTTTCCATTGTTTTTTTTGTCAAAGTGGGTAATTGCGCCCTTCCTGTCCCCTTGTTTCTCTTCTTTCCATTTTGTGCATGCAGCGGGAACAAAATTATCCTGTATAATTAGACAACGCTTAGACTCTTAGACAATGAAAACATACTATGAGAATGTTTGACCTCATGACAATCACAAATGCCCAAACCAAACCTTTTTTTCAACAACTGCCGACACGGGAATGTTCAATACTTTTGCGCTCACTCACACACCGAAAAACAAGATGGTCTCCCATTCCTCAGAAGTATGGATTTCTAATATAATCATTCGCTTTTGGTTGATTTTATGGTCGCTGATATAATATATATATATACATACACTGTATATACACTCATTTGTGTTCCCTAAACCGTATCTTCTCATGTGGGTAGTTTCGGTTGATTACGTCAACTCCATGTACCCCAAAAAACCTGGGATTGGATTGCAAGGGCTTCAATCAGGATCATCTTAGATGTCCAGCAAGCAAGTGGGTTTTCAGATGGTTTTTAGCTGTGCATTCTATTCCCCGGCTTTTGGCACAAGAACGAACACAACCTGTCGACAAACCATTCGTTGGTTTACATCACCAATATTGTTCGCTTTCTAGCAATTTTTGGGTCTAGTCCTTAATTTTTCCCGAAATTTGTTGGTAGCACTATACAACCCCAAAATTCAAGATGGAACCCACAAATGATACCAGTAGTACCGCACAAGGCAGTGGCGGAAGTTTCAGAAATAGGACACCTATAGGAGACGTTGGTTGTTGTGAATCACGGATGGCAGAGCAAAGCCACTGATGGACGGAAAGGTGGTTGAGGTCTCCTCTCTTTCTCTCTCTTTCTCTCTCTTTCTCTCTCTTTCTCTCTCTTTCTCTGACTATCTACCTACCTACCTACCTACCTATCTATGTATCTATCTATCGATCGATCTACCTATCAATCTATCTATCTGTCTGTCTATCTCTCTCTCTCTCTCTCTGTCTGTCTATCTGTCTATCTATCTGTCCTCTGCGCTTGAAAACGAAGCTATTCTACGAGACTTCCTGAAATTTTGAACTTGACACCATCAAAAACGCAGCAATTCAGCGAGACTTCCTCAAATTTTGAACTTGACAACATCAAAAACGAAGCAATTCTGCGAGACTTCCTCATTTTTCAAAGTTGACAACATCAAAAACGAAGCAATTCTGCGAGAAATCCTTCAAAAATGGAAAGTTGAGTGCAGAGCTGACGGCCTCGTGCCAATGCGTTTTGCGATTTTTCCACTTCACCTGTCTAAAGTACTGCGCCTGCCACGAAAAAGTGATGCCAGGCCATGCGAAGTGGTGCACCTGTCGCGCAAAATCATCTCACCCAACCTGAAGATCTGAGGCTCCAAAACAGCTCTGATGAACATGTCTCTTGTATTGCGCCTGCCACGGAAAATGCATTTTTGCAGATCCTCTTCAAATGTACCACGCCTGCCATCGTTTTTGGAAATGCGACAAAACCCTGACGTTTTGCTCACTTTTGACAAGGTGCACAATCCCTTGCGCCTGCCACGCGAAACGACACCTGAACGTCCAAAAGTGGCGCGAACATGTGGTGTTTTTAACATTTTGACTTCGAAATGTGCTTCGCGCCACAACGGCATGCACTTTTTCGACATCTCAACTTCCAAAAGTGGTCCGGACCTGGTGTGCTTTCTACATTTTGACTTGCAAATGTGCTTCGCGCCACAACAGCGTACACTTTTTCGACATCTCAACTGCCAAAAGTGGTCCGGACCTGGTGTGTTTTGTACATGTTGATTTCGAAATCTGCTTTGAGCCACGACGGCGTGCAATTTTTTATCTCTCATCTGGCCAGCTGGCTCCGCACCCGCCGCTTTAGCGAGCCTACTTTTCGACCCTCCGGAGCCACAAATCATTGGAAAAACACAATGTTGTTTCACGGCTTTCCTACCTTTTCGTGCACCTGGATCTTCTTTCTTCTGAGACTTTCTCTTCTCTGATCTTCTCTCTTCTTCTCTTCTCTTCTCTATTCTTCTGCTCCACCTCTGCTTTTCATTTATCCATATTGTCAGAAGTTTGACTTCTAAACTTCCTTCGAATATTAAAAACTAAAATTATCTTCCATGTTTGGGCTCCATGTTGAATTGAGGGGGCTGTATTCCTCCCCCCCATAGAACAGATTCATATTAATTAATCCATGGCCCTACTACAGTGTGGTGGTTTTAACCCTAAATAGGGGGAAACATGAACAATGCTTGCAGCTGCATTCAAGATATATGGCGAACCATATTCCAACTATGGTTTTTGTCTTTGTTCATTGGATGAACATCAAACCACTATTTTATATGAACCATATTTCTATGTATTTCAGGACCACTGTATGTATGTATGTCTGTTTGTCTGTCTGTCTGTATGCATGCATGCATGTGTGTATGCATGTGAGTATGCATGTGACGTGTATGCATGTGACGTGTATGCATGTGTGTACGTACGTACGTACGTACGTATGTATGTATGCATGCATGCATGTATGTAAAGGTAGCCATATAATTCATATATAAATATATATATATGTATATGTGTCAGTATGCGTGTATATATATATATGTATACGCATGTAAACAAACATTGGTACATATTTATAAATGTAATTGTATGTGTATGTATGTATGTCTGTCTGTCTGTATGCATGTATATATGTATGAATACATATATATATATGTTTATATATATATATATATGTATATAAATATATGTATGCATATATGAAAATATATGTATGTAAATAAATATATGTGTATATGTAATATATATATATATATGTATATGTATGTAATATATATATATATATATATATATATGTATATGTATATGTAAATAAATATGTGTAAAGATAAATAAGTATTCTATGTAAATATATGTATATGTATATGTATTTAAATATGTATATATATTTATATATATGTAATATATATATATGTAGTATATATAAAAACTATGTGTGTAAATAAATAAATATATATATATATGTATGTATGTATGTATGTATATACATATATGTAGATATATGTAATATATATATATATGTATAAAAAATGCATATATATATAAATATATCTCTATGTATTATATATATATATATGTATATATATATATATGTAAATATATATATATATGTATATGTATGTGAAATATAAATATATGTATATATAAATATTTATGTGTATGTATATAAATATCTATATATATGTAATATATATGTATATAAATAAATATATGTATATATATGTAATATATATATATGTATGTATATAAATATATGTATACATATATATATATATATGCAATATATATATATATATGTATGTATGTATATAAATATGTATATATATATAATATATATATAAATAAATATATATATATATACATGGGATGGATAACCCCACTTACGCGGACCTAGTACTGTCGGTCTCGGTGATTCTTTTTCTTCCCTGCCACCACCACCAAGTCGCCGCAAGATCAATGGCTCTTTGCAGGTGACTCCGGCCTTTTTGGCCTCAGAGATTGGGGTTTTTGAATCCCGAGATGTGGGGAAGAAACTATTTTTTCATAAGGATCTGACGATACATCACAGAATCTGTCATAATATGTACTCTATTTACATTTATATATATATATATATATACATAGTAAATTTGGGTAAACTGGATGAATAGGGATGAAGCTGTTTCTATGACCATCCAAGATGTGGGCAAGGTGTTGCCCCAGTTCGCTAAGTTGGCTGATAGCAATGATATAACTATTGGGTAACTATATACATGAGTTAGATGAAGTTAGATGGGCGAAACTCAGCTTATCACTTGGGAATAATCAATGGGACAATGGGATCATTGGACAATCAACAATCATTGTTCACCAATGCTGTGATGCTGAAGGGGGTAGAACGGGTAGAAATCAGAATTCGGGAATGAGATTGCCTCAACTAAAGCAGAGATCAACCAGCCTGTGGCTGTAGCTTTCACCTTGTGCCCTTGGGGTTTAGATCCAAAGGCCGTATCCCAATATTGGCCGCTGAAATCATCGATATCTTGTGAACATTCTGGTCCCAAGATTTCAATCGCACTTGTCCAAGAAACTTGTCCCAATACCATCTGGTAGTCAAACATAGCTATAGAAAATGGTCCATTTAACAGTAAATCATTTACCTATTCAAAATGGTGATTTTCCGTAGCAAACTGTTCCGTAACAAACTTGTTAGTTTATCCTCCCGCTGAATCACGTCACATCTTGGAGACTTTGACTGGAGATGGGAAGATTTCTGGCAATGTCGAGACTGGAAATACGATGACAAATGATTGTGAATAATCCAATGATAATAAACCAAAATAACACATATGATAACATATGTATATATATATAATAACAGTAATCTTTGGATTTGATTTCCAACATGTTTTGGATATTTTGGGATGACTAGCTTTATCTCAACCGTCATTTATGGTGACTTTATGGAGACTTCCGCCAGTGAGGTAGCTACAAGCTGACAATATCACCTACATGGGCTGATATGGTCCAATGGTACAAACTCCCAATATGCATGCAAATCCACTCTCTCTCTCTCTCTCTATGCACATTGCTTGGATATGTACATAAAAGAACCACAAATAATATGTGATATATATATATACACATAATTATATATATATATACATATAAAGATTTAGAGAGAGAGGGATAATCATCGGATAATCCCAAATCGTTTGGCCATGAAATCCTTTCCCCTTGACCCCGTGAGTTGGGGAAGCAGATGGCCGGCCTGCGGGTGGTGTTCCGAAAAGAAGTTGTAGCGCAGGCCAAATTGGCGACAAATGGGCAGCGCCACCTGCGTTGATTCGTGGCGAGTTGCAATATCCAAAAGAAATAACAGCAAGAACTGGTTGGTGGTTGAGCCACCCATCTGAAAAACATGAAAGTCAGAAGGGATGATTATTCCCAATATATGGAAAAATAAAACATGTTTCAAACCACCAAGCAGATAAGTGTACGGATCAAAATTGGATACCACAATTTCAATGGTTAACCAAAAAAACACGACTGGATGACTAGTGGTCCCCCGGGTTCCCAATTTTGACCCATACCCAAACAAGAAATCATACACAAATGAAAGGGCACTACATGTGTATATATTCCACCACGCAATTTTCATGGTTTTTTCCTGGATAACAAGAACAACCTAGCATCTTTCGCGCGTGAAAATGCTCAACGCTCGATCTCCGAAGGGGAGCAGAACGGTGGATGGAACGCAGCCACTGCTCAACGGCGGATCACGCTCCCTCGTCACTGGTTGGTCACCATAGTGTTCACCTATTCATAATCTACTATGGTGAAAACCATATCAGTGAATCATGGGATATCATACATATATGAACTAACTATGGTCTATATGGTCACCATATAATGGACAGCCCACGAAACGGGGATTTACTAATTGGGATGAAGCTTCAGCCAGGAGTGGGACCCAATCTCAGCCATCGCCTTCGTATTCAACTCATGCAGGGTCTGAACCACTTTGTCTCGGTTCTTCAATGGTACCTGCATTTCGTCAGGATCGCTGGTTGACGTTCGATATATAACTAAAACCCAAGATACAAAAACATCAGCCGTGCATCTTCCCATTAGACTATCCACACTTTTTAAAGTAAACACCGTATGAACTCTACTGTCATACTGTCGGAGAATTAAACATAGCAATGGATATATAATCCCTTTTTTGTAGGTGATCTAGATGGTGATCTTCCATTTAAAGAACACAATTCGCATATGCGCTCCATTACCATCCATTGTGTTGTCTCGAATTTTGCAATTCTAGTTCTTGCTATCATCTGACTTCGCAAAAAACATCATCGCTATATGTTCAATCTACAGAATCTGCCTGACTCTAAACTGTAAGGGGATTGATTCTCAGCACATTAAACGGGAATGGGTCAGCTGGTTGCTTGAGACGTTTACCGGACTCAATGGTACTGGCTGATACATTTGAAGTAAAGCTTCAGTATGATGAACCGTAGATTTCATATTTCCTGATCATCTGAGCGAAGAAGCCATTAAGTTCCAACAGCAGACACGTTCTTTGATTGTTGACATTGAGAATCAAGGTGCACACCATCTGTTGTAATTTTACCTCTCACACAGTTGAAGCTTCATACGTATACCTACATATATATATATCATTATATATGATTATAATTATACATACATTTGGTTGTCCAAAAATCAACAACAATGAGGCTAAACCCTACTCAATCATGCCAATTTGTTGGGTCGATAGTACAACTAGGTATATTATATATCTATAAATATACATATATATATACATATCTATGTATGTACATACTGATTATATAATGTACGCCCAGCTGTGTTGGACATACGCCATCCAAGTTGCCATTGTAGGTCATCCAATTCATACCCGTACCCCTTCTCACATTGCACACGCCAACTGCTGGCCATGGTTCTTTTTGCATTTCTGGGATGGTAGCCATTTCTGGCCAATGTAACTCTTTCAATCCTTGACAAGTCCTAATGTGTTTGCCTTGAGCTACTGTATAGACTTGTATAGATTTGTTTTTTATGTGCAGTATATATGTGTCTAGGATTTTAAATTCCAACTTTTCATATATGTTTGCTCATATCTTGACTGGTTTCTGACTGTTGGTCCTTCACACATCACAAAACACCAAGGTCTCTTCAAAAAAATGGATGTGCATCTCACAAGAGGTTGGTGGTTCACAACCCATGCACCACCTATTAACCTATTGCAAGAATCTAACAGAGGATAGTTCATGAAAACTGACTTCTACTACAAGGTGGTGCCCCAAGAATAAGCAAAGTTGCGCAAAGCAATCAGGTTAACTACTGTTTATGGGGACAATTATTGCTTCATCCGTGGGGTACCCTGAAATCGTCCATTCTTTTAGGAAGGGTTTTCCATTACAAACTGTCCAGCTATTGGGGTACCCCCATGACTTTGGACACCCCCCCATTCTCATCATAGTAATGACCACTATAGTTCATATAGTATGGAATATTGGTTGTAACTATACCTACCGCACTATAATAACTATAGTATAGATTCCCAATAACTATTGGTAAATTACAGGAATTCACTAACCTGAAATAGTGTGATTTGGGGCTGCTTCCCTATACGAACCATTATGGAAACCCCCATGTGTCATGACGCCCGCCTTCTTCCCCTCCGGCGTCCGCATGGAGCTGAACGAGAAGTACCTGAAGAAAGCGCAGCAAAATCGATGAAAGTGTGGATGGCCTGAGATATCTGTGGGCCACTCTCAATGGAATAATATATATATATATACATATGTATGTATACATATATATATATATGAATGTCTATAAGTATATACATATATATATATATCTGTGCTGTAAATGAACATATATGTAAACGTATGTCTAAATAACCATGTGTATATATATATATATACACATAGATAGATAGATAGATAGATAGATAGATAGATAGACAGATAGATAGACAGATAGATAGACAGATAGATAGATAGAAAGATAGGTAGATAGATAGATAGATAGATAGACAGATAGATAGATAGATAGATAGATAGCTAGATAGAGATAGATAGAGAGAGAGAGATAGAGAGAGAGAGAGATAGATAGATAGATAGATAGATAGATAGATAGATAGATAGATAGATAGATAGATAGATAGATAGGAAGATATATAGATAGATAGGATTAGATAGGGATAGATAGGAATAGATAGGGATAGATAGGAATAGATAGGGATAAATAGGAATAGATAGGATTAGATAGGAATAGATAGGAATAGATAGGAATAGATAGGAATAGATAGGAATAGATAGGAATAGATAAGGGTAGATAGATGGATGGATAGATAGATAGATAGATAGCTTTACTGGAGTTATCTGAAAATAGGGTAGCCCAAAACTCATTCATGAAATAACATTTGGCCGATCAATCAGCATTTTTAAAGGATACTTAAGTAACTATTTTTATGGAGAAGGTTAGGTACCACGTTGATAAATGGTGATATTGTCATGTGCATATCAACACAAGGACATTAGAAAATATCTGATGTATGTATGTATATATATATATGTATGTATATATATATATATCTACACATGTATATTTATATATACAATGGGGGATATCCATGTAATAAACATCGTGATAAAGCTGGGAGGTATTCGACATGTATATGCTGCATCCTGTAACTCTCCCATATGTCAACCTATGCACAAATTAAAATAATAACATTGTTGAATTTGTTTTACAAGGCCAAGCATCACAAATTATTGGTGGTACTAAATACGAGTATATCTGCATCAATTGAGTTGTATTCAAAGTGGACATGTGAAGATCACCAACAAATGGGTATATATATATATATATTTCACCAGAATACTTCTAGTGAAGTACTACCATTTATCAATGGATCCATTGCATGGTGTTTTTTGAACACAAACATGAAGATATTGAATGGTTAGTATAGGCATAGGTTGATATTGGTTGCACAATTTCTCCAATGTCTCCAAAAAAGGGTACGCAAATTCCATCCCATGGATCATCATCATTACATTAGGTGGTTGATAGCTTTCCCTAATTAATATGGGCTAGTTCATATTACCCAACAACCAGATATATTGTACCTTCTTACAATAATCAATCAACACTCATTTATCAGTTGTATATGTTGTATCATCTTCCCAGATTTCTTTCAGATGAAACAAACATGCTTAAACCCCCATATTTCATAACCAATCAACTTGTGCATCTTGTTCATGGCCCATCTGACATTAACATTGGTTCCAAATATGGCGTTTGTATCAGTCCGATGGTGTGCCAGCAGTTAGGTTCCGCCTGGGGGTGCAATGGGGGGAATCAATTCACGGGCAGAACCATAAATAGCTCTAACCCTTTCAACCCGCATTGGTCATATACATTGCCACATACCCACTTATTATGCGGAAGTGCACTCCCAAGTACTACGAACTATGGCCATTTCCCTCCTTTTTTTGATTGTTGAAACCCTTTTGGCTTGTAAAATCTCAATGATTGATAGCTAAAAACATGTTGTCCCATGTTGTCCCATGGTAAATTGCAATTTTGGCTGGTTGAATCCCTCATTTTTGCTAGTTGGACTGTCCCCTGTGTTTTGTTGAATATACCAGCATACACCAGCGGTCTACATTCTCGAATTCCCAAACCATGGATATCTATGGATTGTGATCATCCCTAGTAATGTATCACTGTATCACCCCCTACAATCATCAACACTGCCACTGCTCATCTTTTTTTCCATCTCAATTTCTCTATAGGGGTATGAGTCAAAACCGTGGGGCCCAAACGGTACCCAAAGTCAAAGCTGGTTCAATCTGGTTCAACGATGTTTATACCCCCACTCATACGGTAATTTTCATAGGTAACTTGACCCCATCCCCATAGTTTTCCAGCTGTTTCCAGCCTATTTTGCCTGCTAAAATCCAGAACAAGGCACAAAGATCCCAAGGACAGGAGCGTCTCCACCACCGGCTGCGGCGAGATTTTTGTCACGATGGCTCGGGGGATTCACCAAAATCGCCATGTTTTACCATGAACAAATAGGGGAATAACCGGGGAAAATTGACATATTTTAGAGGTGAGAATAGCTCATTCATGATAGGTTGATAGGTCAGCTGGTTTATCACTAGGTTAACGATCTAACAAACACAGTTTGGGATTGAAGCATGCTCATTTTTTGTTGAAGAAGAAGAAATGGCATAGGAACTGTACCAATTATGGATATGTGGGCGTGTCTGCAAATGGGTATACCACGAATTTATGGCATTCTTTTGGGGGGCAGTTCAAATTCAACCGGAAACTAACAAAAGAATGTTGGACATTACTCTGGAATGTGATATAAACAATCAATGCCTGAAACCACCACCCAGGAAAAGTAATCAAAGGTGTGGTAAACTATGTAAACAAGGATTCAACCAGCAAGTATTGGATATATGATATATGGAGACCTATTCCACCAAACGTGAAGGACTCACGGGTGTCCAGAGTTGCTTTGGTTTCAAATCAACAACAACCAAAACAACTGGGTAAATTGTGCTAACCAATCATTACTAAAGCAGATGGAATAGTGGAATAATGCTAAATTGGATTATCCCCAAAAATCCGCCGACCCCGGCCGACGGCAAGGGGGAGCGCGTCAGGGCAGAGAGGTTGTAACAACACCAACACCAACACCAACACCAACAATAACAACAACAACAACAACAAGAACAACAACAACAACAACACCTTCAGAGGCATGGTGTTTTCCGCCCGGGAGGAGGTGATTTTTTCGAAGCTGTTTTACTGCCGCACCCGCAGGCAACAGAAGCTGTCGAAAAATGTTGTTTTTCCAGAATTTCAGACGACACGTTAGGCAGTTTTTTGGCGTGGTTTTGGAACTAGCTCGTCCTTCAGAAGCATGGGGTTTTCCCCCGGGAGGTGAGTTGGCGTTTCAGCGTTTCGAGTGGTGTCCATACACCAACACCAACACCAACAACAACAACAACAACAACAACACCTTCAGAGGCATGGTGTTTTCCGCCCGGGAGGAGGTGATTTTTTCGAAGCTGTTTTACTGCCGCACCCGCAGGCAACAGAAGCTGTCGAAAAATGTTGTTTTTCTAGAATTTCAGACGACACGTTAGGCAGTTTTTTGGCGTGGTTTTGGAACTAGCTCGTCCTTCAGAAGCATGGGGTTTTCCCCCGGGAGGTGAGTTGTTCGAAGCTGTTTAGCTGCAGCAGGCGCAACAACAGAAGCTGTCGAAAAATGTTGTTTTTCTAGGATTTCAGACGACACGTTAGGCAGTTTTTTGGCGTGGTTTTGGACCTAGCTCGTCCTTCAGAGGCAGGGTGTTTTCCCCCGGGAGGTGATTTTTTGTAGGGTTTCAGAAACAACATTAGGTACTTTTCCCGGTCACTTTTGGAGCGTTTTGGGCACGAAATTAGGTGGCGTTTCAGCGTTTCGAGTGGTGTCCATACACCAACACCAACACTTTCAGCGTTTCGAGTGGTGTCCATACACCAACACCAACACCAACAACAACAACAACAACAACAACAACAAGAACAACAACAACAACAACAACACCTTCAGAGGCATGGTGTTTTTCCGCCCGGGAGGAGGTGATTTTTTCGAAGCTGTTTTACTGCCGCACCCGCAGGCAACAGAAGCTGTCGAAAAATGTTGTTTTTCTAGAATTTCAGACGACACGTTAGGCAGTTTTTTGGCGTGGTTTTGGAACTAGCTCGTCCTTCAGAAGCATGGGGTTTTCCCCCGGGAGGTGGGTTGTTCGAAGCTGTTTAGCTGCAGCAGGCGCAGGCAAAAGCAGCCGCAGGCAACAGAAGCTGTCGAAAAATGTTGTTTTTCTAGGATTTCAGACGACACGTTAGGCAGTTTTTTGGCGTGGTTTTGGACCTAGCTCGTCCTTCAGAGGCAGGGTGTTTTCCCCCGGGAGGTGATTTTTTCTAGGGTTTCAGAAACAACATTAGGTACTTTTTCCGGTCACTTTTGGAGCGTTTTGGGCACGAAATTAGGTGGCGTTTCAGCGTTTCGAGTGGTGTCCATGAGTCGAGCTGTTGCAGCTGACGTCAAAGCGACAGGACGCGACAAGACAGTTGTCACAAAGGCAGGCAAAAGATCTTTTTTTCTAGGCTTTGAGGGCAGGCAAAAGATCTTTTTTTCTAGGGTTTTAGAAGCAACGTTAGGCACTTTTCCCGGTCCCTTTTGGAGCGTTTTTGGCATGAAATTAGGTGGCGTTTCAGCGTTTCGAGTGGTGTCCATGAGTCGAGCTCGGCAACGGCAGCAGCCTTCTAGTATGCTTCAGTTCCCTCATGTCTTCAGTTCTAGTAGGATTCCAGAAGTCAGCGGCAATGGCAGTAGCAGCGGCAGCAGCAAGTCCGCAGCAGCGGCAACGGCAGCAGCCTTCTAGTATCCTTCATCAGTTCCCTCAAGTCTTCACTTCAGTTCTAGTAGGATTCCAGAAGTCACGTTAGAGAGTTTTTTGGTGCGATCCTGTGGCCCGTTCGTCCTTCCGTGTCCTGCTGTTTTGGTGCCGGGAGGTGCTTTTGGTACACTTCTGTCAGCAGCAGCAGCAGTAAGAGCAGCGGCAGTGGCAGTAGCAGCGGCAGTAGCAAGTCCAGCAGCAGCAACAGCAGCAGCGGCAAC